TTCGTACAATTGAAGTCAATTTCGTACAATTGAAGTCAATTTCGTACAATTGAAGTTAATTTAGTACAATTGAAGTCAATTTCGTACAATTGAAGTCAACTTAGTACAATTGAAGTCAACTTAGTACAATTGAAGTCAATTTCGTACAATTAAAGTCAATTTCGTACAATTGAAGTCAATTTCGTACAATTGAAGTCAATTTCGTACAATTGAAGTCAATTTCGTACAATTAAAGTCAATTTCGTACAATTGAAGTCAATTTCGTACAATTGAAGTCAATTTAGTACAATTGAAGTCAATTTCGTACAATTGAAGTCAATTTAGTACAATTGAAGTCAACTTAGTACAATTGATGTCAATTTCGTACAATTGAAGTCAATTTAGTACTGGATGCAACCCTTGCTCAAGATCAATGAGATCAAGCAGTACAGCTGAGGTTCAGCAGTCCTGGCCGGGGTCTATAGAGGGCTCACCTTGACCGCCAGATCCGGGGAAATATGGATCAAGAACTGTGTTCAATTGATTCAGGTAAATAAATATACTTACTTGTTATTACTTCATTCATTTGTTATTATACTTTATCCTAATATATATTAACCAAAATATTTATGTCGATATCTGTAAGTTTGGGCATGGGAACGTATCCCTCGTATTAGCCCAAAAATGAGGGATACCAACTTTGACAGAGTCCAGGGTTGTCCCTTAGGAGCAAGGTAATCACATTTATTTATATTTAATACTTAAAATATTTTTAACTATAAAATTTTGTGATTAAAATTTTTGTTTTTTTTTATTATTTGATTTTTAAGGTGGGTGGGACGGAGGAATATGAAACACATCGGAAAGGGAACAGCCGCTATCGGAGATCAATTAACTTGGCTGACAGAGAATGATGTAAGATTTTGATTAAGTAATATTGATTATTATATATGTTTGTTTTGAGTTTTTTTTATTTTTCTATAACTTAATAAATATTATTATTATTTGTTTACAGTTCAAT